GGAGGAGGGGGGGAAAGGCGATGCTGGTTCGTCCAATCGTAACGGCGGCAGTTGCGGCGACCGCCAGGACTCGCGGCTTTCGCCGCCGTCCCCGGGAGCAGAGCTGTCAGGGCCGGAACCAGCGGCCGGCCAAAGCGGATAGGAGTCGATCTCTGCACATCGAAAGATGCACAGTTGGGTAAGCGCTAAGACTTACCCTGAAATCATTTGGAATTTATGTTTTCGTGCCAAAGTGGAGCAAGGTGCAGTCTCAACGTTTTTCTGGTCTCAGTCGAATTGATTGGGGCCAAATTCCTAAAGGCGGAAGAGTACGTTGGTCCAATTGAACGGATTTCAAAACTTATCCTTCTTGTTTCATGCTGATTTGCGTAAACAAGGTTGACGCACGCCATTAACAGAACAGAACGAGGTTCAACATCGAACCGTTGGTTTTGCGGGCAACCTAAACCGCCCGGCCAACAAGAACAGCAGGCAGGGCAACAACCTAAAATCACAACATACAAGAATAAAAAGAATCATGTTCAAAAACCTCAAAACTAAAGGAACGTAGCGGCGTTCACTGTGGGTGCCGTTCACACAAACAGGTCGTTCAAGCTAAAGTCTGAGATTTCAGGAAGAACATTACAGATACAAAACTTAAATGAGCGGCAAGTTTACGCAAACTTACCAAGACGTTGGATAGATCGGGCGGCTTGCGCTCCCGGCGCTGCGCCACCAGCGATTAGTATAGCTACCGTTGTACAAAAGCACAAAGCAAGGGAAAACCAGGGATGGAAGAATTTGAACTGCTTCTTAGTCTCGCTGCCTGCCATAGTGCGTGTCGTGAAGGAGAAAGGAAACCTTCCCAAGGAGCAGGAAGCAGCCAGAAGCAAGGTAGACAAGTGCCGCTGCTAAGATAACAGATTGTTTTGACTATGAAAGTGGAAGTATATGGGCTAGAGATGGCGAGTTAGACGAAGGAATGTGTAGGAGTTGTTCGAATGCTAAAGCGCCAGCAGATGGGCGCTGCAGCCTCTATGAAGACTTCGTAAGAAATCAGGTGCGACTATAATCTCAACAGAAATATTCAATATCTCAATTTGGAGAGCGTCAGGCGGACATCACTGTTGCGCGAAGGTTGAGGAGAGATGGATACCTTCCCGACTAGTTGCGATTTTGCAAGTCAACAGCGGTTCAGGTATGGAAACTCTCGACTACCTCGCAAAAGCCTCAAGACCACTCCATCATTCTTATACTTCTGCATTCTCGGTTTTCTCAGCCGCCTGCCGTTAGTTCCAGGCACTACATCGTACAAATCCTTACAACTCTCCGGTTTTCTGATTGCCCAGCTGAAGGCGTTCACAGAAACATAGACGGACGGTTTACTGGTTTCTCGTCCACCTGGATGAGTGACTAATATATGTATACATGTATTACATGACATACAACTTTTTTAATACGACTGACCTTATGAACAGTGCCTTCGTCCCCGTCATGGTAATGCCTGGCGGACATCACTGTTGCGCGAAGGTGCGGGAGAGATGGATGTAAAGATGCAACGCAAATAATTGAACATCCAACATTCTGCGCTAAACAGACTGCAATTTACGACACAAACTTCTCATCTGTTGTTGTGTGGTAGTGGTGGTGGTGGTGGTGGTGGTGGTTTTAAAACGCATCCTTTATGAAAAGGAGGTGCTACAAAACCAGTAGGAACGATATAATATACTCTACCTGCACCTATTTGTTCTCAAAACTCGGAAGCAGCAGAAGGGACCGGAGCAGAAGGTTCTCGGGGAGAGAGAGAGACGATCATCGCCAGCAGCGCCTCTCCGTGACCCTCCCCGGTACTGCTCCAGGTCCTATCCAGGATTTCCACACACACACACACACCGCCAGATCCAGATCCAAATTTTCCCACGCCCCCCCCACACACACGCACGTTTTCGTTACCCGCTGCTTTCTCGGCCATTACAGCGATGAGCGGTGGACAGGGAAGCAGAAAGAGAAGAGAGAGATGGAACAAACAGGGCTTAGATCCTGCTGTCGGCTCAGCTCCTGGAAACAACATTACCGAGCAAAGGAAACATCGTGGCTCATGGGGGTTAGGGATTAGGCATCACCTCCGTAGGCGTCATCTCCCCCCAGGTGGTGGTGGGGGGGGGAGGCAATGAATTGTTCGAACAATAGTAGCCGTACTGCAGCCACATCCCATGAAACACTCTGGAACCCTACCTGTATTCCGCTGGTTTCCATTCATGCATTTCGAATATTGGATTCCTTCCTATATTACGCTGGTCAAACTGTTCATGTTGTGGTTCAAGTCCCAACGGCCAACCGCCAACAGCCATAACAGCCCCGCTCCGATTGTCCGATTGAGCCTTTTACAGGGCGACGTTAAAACTCATCATCCTGTCATACAGGGACATTCAGAAGTCCCATCTTCCATTTTCCGCCCCCTTCCGTCCCGTAAAGACTTAAAACCCTCGCCCCACCCGCCGCACATACATACATACGACCAGGAACTAAGTTGAGGCGCCGTTGATCCGCTAGATTCGGTTGGATGCTGGTGGTGAGTTGCTGAACCCAACGAATACATTCTGAAGTCGGATGGGGTGAATGGATTAGGGTGCCCCTGTCGCAGGGGAGAGCAGGGAACTGCCTCGGGAAAGGGGGCCGCTGGTGAAGCATCACCCTGTAGCAACATCATACATACGAACATACACCGACATTGTGCAGAGTTGAAGTCCCCCTGGTTCGAAAGAGGGAACATGCACCCCCCGGGTCCCCCGGGCGGTGGTGGACAACCGGACCCGGGTTAGTCAGCCGACCAGGTGCGGAGGGAGGTGGCGCCACGGCTGATACGGCAGCAGATCCCGCTGGATGCTGCTGCTTTTGGTGGTTGTGGTTGTGATGGTGGTTGACGTGGTGGTTGTGATGGTTGTGGACGTTAAACCCGAAAACGTCGCTAATGGACTCGGCACATGTCGGCACTCGCACGTGGTTGAGCAGCGGGATGAGAGGGTGCCCCCGGGGGGGGGACATAGAACCGGGGAAGGGGGGTATAGCAGGGAGATGACGGCCAGCGGTCCAGCGGCCACTCGTGGGTGAAGCTGAACGAGTAGTAGACACACACACACACAACCTACCCAACACAAACATAGACGCAAATATACCTACCCAGTGACATATATGCATACCATACATTTCTACACACAAAAGAAAACAGACAGGCAGACAGACAGACAGAAACCATAATCACCACCACCCAGTACCACCGCTACCAGCACCAGCAGCTGCTGTTACAGGCCATCACGGTCTTATCCGGTCCCCCCCACACACAGACACACAAAACGGGAGGGAAAGGGAGTAAGAGGGAGATCCTCATCATCCTCATCCGCAGGAGGCATCATACCGCAGACTCTAACCAGATCACAGACGTGCGTACATACACACAAAAAAATCATACATACAGTCATACATACAGATTTGCTCTCGCTGAGTCATCTCATCATCGCACAAACATAACTACAGACAAGAAATGCGCGACCACATACGCGTACACATACTTGCACAGAGCGACGGCGGTGTCGTACACATCTATTGTCATGTCGTGTTTGCTCCTCAGTGCCCGACACAACTACTTGACCCTGCTCACCGACGCGCACCGCACCGCACAGCTCACTGCCACAACACACACAAGAACATTCCCCCCACTCCCACCCACCCACCGCAGCTTGGGGACTACCCGCAACCTCTCATCGCCCCACAGACAGATATATATACACAGCCACCCTTCAATCCCGAAACCGCTCCAGAACCAACCAAACCTCCTTCAAACATAAAGGGTTCTAAGCGAGGTGTCCGCCAACCCTCCTTCCCCTTCCTCCCTCCCCTTCCTCCCTCCCCTTCCTCCCTCCCCTTCCTCCCTCCCCCTCCTCCCTCCCGCTTCCCCTTTCCCTCCTCCCTCCCCTCCTCCCTCCCTCTTCCCCTTTCGCTCCTCCTCGTCGACGCCCTCCTCCTCCTCCCCCTCCCCCTCAATCCCCTTTCAGAATTTGTCGCTCTTGGACGAGGAAGCCATCACGATGCGGCTGATCACCTCCTGCGGTTACGGTTACGGTTGCGGGTATGTATGTATGTATGTATGCATGTACTGATGTCTGCGGTTGTGGCGAGAGTTGGGATGACGAACCCCGATTGGGGGAACGGGCGAGGAATGGGAAGGGACATCCCACCGCGTCCCGAGGAATACCCCGAACCCGATATCCCACGAGGTTATCGTCCCACCAACTCCACCTCCACCTCCCCCTACCCCGCCTCCGTTACCACCAGGTGTACACATGATACTTCCTCCTCCTTCGTACCTGCGTCGGCAGCGCCCCAAGCTCCTTCCCGCCGTACAGTCGTACACTAAGGGAGTTGCCGTCGGCCTCCTTAACGCCCACCACACAGATGACCGGGATCTTGGCCTTCTCCGCGTTCCTGAGCAACAACACCAAAAGTGTTAAACCACGCACATCCTCAAAAAGGTTTTAGCGGTTTCAGAGATTTTTGAGGGGCAAACTGTAATTACACATTACCAATATTAGACAATCCAGTGTTATTGTACCGTATACTGTTCCACAGATCAGTTTTTTCCGTACTGGGTTAGTTTCTCTTGGATAAGCGCTTGACATGAACCCACTTTTTGAAGATGCTCTGACGGAATTCAAATCATCTCCAACCAAGCGGCGCATAAACACTTTAACTTGTGGTAATAAATTGATCGACATTCCCTTCTCGAATTAAAAGGCGGATTCGTTTGCCAATCAAGGAAAGAGCCTTCGAACCGAAGGGGGCAACCCCTCTTGGGAGGCTTGGAGGCAACCCCAAGTTTCACGACAACCCTGCCAACGTTTCGAACTCCGCAGTTCACATGATAATAAAACAAAAAACATCAGTAAAATTGTAAAGGGAATCGCTTGGTGGTTTTTGTGGCGTTTGAAGATTTTACGGATTCTGAAGTATCAGTTGGTATATGAGGTTTAGACCTTTCCATCATCAACAACAGGGACGGATCATCAAGGGGAAAATCTGCTGCTAACTAAACAAGCCACGCCGCATTGAGCGTGTCGTAGAGTCGTCGTACACTGCCGTACATTGCCATACACCCACCACGGGCGTGGAGATGGTTCACTCACCGAATAAGTTTCCCCATGGACGCCTCCCCCACCACCTCCACGCGAATGCCCGCGCGCTTCATCTGGGCCGCAACGTCACGAGCGTACTCCGCAACGGTGTCGTTGACCGTTAGCAACCGTACCTGTCGTACGAACGGAAGTACACAACAATTTAAAAAAGCAGGAGTCTCAGCACTGAAGGGCGTGAGGGTTATGGCCACCGCTAAAAACCACCAACCATTGACCACCAACAACCCGAGTGACAACAGAATAACTGTTTATCATCATTGTAGTAACATGTAAGAAACGATATTGTCGGTTATGAATCAGTGACACGTCAGTCACACTGCTGCGGTGTTGAGGAACAGGGAGCAAGGGGCCAGACCGGCCTCGGGACCTAACGGAGATTAAGGTGGCGAAAGGGGGGAGGGGGGCCCGGTACGATACCGGTGTCCTCTGCCTCCCCCCTCCTTCCCTCAATATCCCCCCCCC